AGGATATTAGCAATAATACTATCTAGGATAGTAAAAGTTTCTGGTACGGGAGTTGTTTCTTCTTTTGGGTCTCCTTCATTTACTTACCGATAAGTTGTAACTCAGAATAAATCTTTTATTATCGGGTATCGCCGGTTCATATGGAATCAGCATCTCTTCCTTATCTTCATTAGTTAATGCTCTTTGAGGTCTGCGTGGGTCAAGGATTCGCTTGGATATACCAAGAACTTGATCGGTGTTCAATGCAACTAGATAGATAATGTTTTGTCAGTTGGATCGCCGATCATTACGCAACAATTAGAGTTCAATGACGTGTCTCGCGTTCAAACGACGCACATAAAAATTCTCGCGTTGCGATTCCGTTCTTCGTCGTGGTAACGCCGATGGACCTGACGCCGTAAGGAAACATGAATGCTTGCGCACTCACGTAGGGACGTTCGTGTGAGAATGAAGAAAAGTTGTGCCTGCAGAGCGCGAAAATAAATTGCTTAGTATGAATTACATCTCACGATTCTGAAAACAAACAGCACATACGTGTTGAATCTCTCATCTTTATTCTCGCTCTCGTACAAATCGTACACCACAACTTCATAACCCTTCTCCGATTGACCATCTTTCCAAAAATGATATACAACAGTGTTTTCAACTTGGATCATGTAGACAGGATGTGAGGCGCCAACACTGTCGTGGACGGCATGGAACAATATCGTTCCCTTAACCACGTCGATCAAGTGGATGTTAAGAGTTGCTGGCGTTGAAGATGAAAGGGTGGCAACGGCAACTAGGTGTGGATTAAGGTATTTGTAAAGAACTGAACGATCACCAAGAACACGACCCAGGGAAGCAACTTTTTCTGTACAATTCACGTGACGTTAGAACTTGGGTATGTGTACATGAAAGCGATAAATCAAAAGGTGGTTTTCAAGAATTACCATGATGAGGCCTGTGCCCAATCGCTACAACTTTCTCGCTTTCGGGGAATTCGATGGTCCAAAGATTTTCGATTTTAAATGGCTCTTTCTAAAGAAATATATATATATATATATATATGTGGCATATCAATACTAATAAGCTAATCATCGAATGCATTATTTATGATAGGAATACATACAATATCATCTGTTTCAGATACAAGGCCATATCCTTTCAGACCGTTACTACCGATTCCATCGGACAATGCAAAATAAAATGATGATGCAAATTTTCGGAAAGCCCTAATTGCGCTATCATGATTCGGGTATATGGTCAACTATCATAGTAGAGATACGAAAAAGGAATGAGGAAATAAAAAGATCAGCAAGGGCTTTCAATACAAAAGGTGCGAACAAAAACATCAAGTTAATAAATATTAACCTTGCCTTTAAACCTTCACCAATTAACGCAAGGATGTGTGTTCTCTCTTCAGGTTCTTCTAGTGGTAATTTGAAGATTTTTCGGGTATTTCCTTGTATATCGAAGGTTGAAGGAAAATATGAGGCGTTCTCTGTGGGGAGAAAGTCTTCTCCAGTAAGAGCGTTAAGACGGAAAAGGCGAGTTAAGGTGTTTCCCTAATTTACGAAAAAGTAATCAGTTAGAATTTTACCATCCTATGAATTAAACGAAGCTCATGGTTTCTCACATTGTCATCATATCTTTTTACTCCAGTTACGACGACTACTGGTGGAAATTTAACGGTTGATGATCGAACTACAAATATCCTTTGAAATTCGAACCCTTCGCTTCCAAAATATCGAGACCACACTGTTTGGCCCTTGTTACTGGTATCCAAGGCAATAACTTTATTTCGAGTTATAAAAATCAATAATTTGCGAAAGCCAAACGTATCTCTATATATGCTTGATTTTGATGAAATTGGGCCTTGAGAATAATCGCCGGTCACAAATCTCCGAGCATAGTTGATCAGATAATTCGGTAAATCCTGTATCAATGAATAAAGGGGAAGATCAGTTTAATCGTCGAAGCCCAATTATGAGAGAAATGAATCACGTACATTAAGTTGCTCGAAATGCGTACTCAATCTTCGGACATAACGAGCGAACGGTGAGATGGTTTCCGATTCGTCGGGTTGTTCGGCTGAATTGAGATTAGATATTTTAAAAATCTGAGGTATTAAAGAAAGATTTGTGATAGTAATATCATGCAATTAGTAATACCAAGTTCATCAACCTCCTGTGTCCACAATTTTCTTTCCGGTAGATCAAGAAATTCGACTTCAATCGTGTGTGCCAGAGACTCCTCTTTTTGCCAAACGATCTCATCTTTTTTAAAAAAATGTGTCGACCCATCGGCAGATATCGCATACGCGCGATAAGCAATTTGTATTTTTTCGTCATTTGTCTTGGTCAGCACATCTAGTACCGTCTGGAACATGTGCATACGATCAATTAATATAATAATAATAATAATAATAATAATAATAATAATAATAATTGATAAAATGATATATAAACATATACACTGCCTTCTTTATCCCTCCAGATGAGGAAATCGGATACGGAATCTTATGAAAACTAATTATATCACGAGAAGCAGGAGCAATGATTTCAACCATAGCTAAACCCTATTGGCAACGATCGTATGCCTGTGATTCAATAATCATACTCCAAGGTTCTCGTAGAATATCAACATTATAACATAAATACCTCTGGCATTGTTCTGATCCGTGATATTATGAGACGTTCATTCTTGTCAAATGTACCCGAATATGTAGATACACCTTCCTATAATGCAACGTATAAATAGCTATTCTAATTCGATCATATTAGCAGATAAATAAACAATCAAGTTATACAAATTTTTACTCTATCTTCCATGTCGTGGAGCACTAACAAACGCCCGCCCATAGGGTCAACTTTGAAAACAGCTGCGGAATAATTTCCGCCTTTTGTTTGAACTTGGGCAAGAAATTCTGTTCGAAATCCAAGGTTAAGATCTATAAGTTCAAGTTTTCCCACATGATGTGCAAATGAAGGTATAACATTTCCGTAGAGTGACTAAGTATAAATAATATAAATATAAATATATATTGAAAATTAAAAGAGAGCCATTATTAATCTTCCAAATATCACGATAATTCACCTCTAACGAAGCTTGTTCAATGGTGCTGGTGCCCAAACGATTAACGCGCATGTATTTTCCCTCTATCCAGACTATAAACCCACTATTCGATCCACCACCCAAAACTATCATGTTGTTAATGTGGTCGACCTTTGAAGAGAGGGAGTTTAATTTTAAAGTTCCATGTCGAGCATCGTACGTAACTACATCAATAGCGTAAGACTTGGAGGATTTCTTAAGACCGATAGCATACACATTTTGTTCGTGCTCGATGAGTTTATGAAAAAGTGCAGAACTAGTAATTACGTATTTAAAAGGATTAATCTCAATCGGAAACGACTGGATAAAGAGATATTCTAATATATTAATAATACCTATCAACAATGTCTGATCGCCAAATTTGCCGACCGTTGGTGCTATTCAAATTTACAACTGTGGATCCTTCGACCAAAATAACAACTCCAGAATCAACTGTAAAAACGACATCTGCTTTTGGCGCGTCATCTTCTAAATTATGACCAATATTCATGTCGCTGCGTCCGAGCGGCCTAATTTTATTCTCCCATATCATGAATCCAGTGTGAACATCCCATAATCGAACGTTATATCCATCACGGTGGGACACTGAAATAACAGCTAGAATATACAAAACCTGCATAAATCCACTGTCCGATCGAAAAGGAGACAATCATCATACTTACTGTTCAGGTGACTTTTATAAGCTAATATAATTTCATCATCGAATATCTGACGCCATTCTATTTGCATAATTTAATTAGTTACCAAATTTCAATTACCAGATTCTCGTTGCGGTCGGTCAGATTTCGTGAAATATTCAGACAACAGTACCAGCCTACCTATATTTCCGTTACGAGGGCTTACTGATGCAATAACATTCCGTTCGGAGGCAACCAAAACTATGGCACCTCGAGTGGGGGCCTTATGGAAAAAAGAGAATTTCGGTGTTCCTATGTATTGTTGATGCCTAAAGGAATAAAAAAGTTCTTTATAAATGAATAAATGATTTTGGCAAACACGTTTCTACGCACCAATCGTTTATTCCGGCTTGATCTTCATAGAGTCCATAGGAAACTCGCCAGTGTAAACTAAGCGTTAAGACCAAAAGCGAAAGGAGCTTTAAAAACGAGATTAAATGCATGCTTAGATTAGATTCAGGAACTTTCTCGTTTATAAATTGCACTTTTCCGATTATTACGTAATGTCCAATAGAAAATTGACAACATGCCCGATCGATCAGCAATTTGCGGATATAATTTTAGATCCTTTTTTTATTAAAAGAAAATTCTAGAAATTGTTCTTCTTCGGAAGTCTCAAGTTCTTACGGAAGACATCCAAGAATTCAAAAGGTAAGAGATAAGTAATATGGATTGCAAAACCCATTTTTCTTAAGTTTATCAGGTGGTGAGAAGATTTTTCTGGTTAGAAGCTAAAGTTTTTAAGCTATTTCATTTTTTTTTTTTTTTTTTTGTATATCCATAGCTAGCTAGATTATCAGTTTATTAATCAATTGAAAACATAAGTACATTTTCATTTGAGCAGCATGATACATACTACAGCTAAACTATTATTCTAATCTAATTAACTTGTCGTAAGTATAATAGCCTCTAAGTTCAGCCTTGAGATCAATATTTCATTTCACAATGTCTTTAGATAAAGATCCTCTTAGTTCACTGCATCATTGCCAGCAGGTTATCACTGCCATATGTTATTCCAAGTTGCTGAAATATAAGAAATTACAAAAAGATGAGTTGAAAAAAAGGGAGGGATATCTAAAAATGTCTAAGTAGACAACAAGAAAATGAAAGATAAAAATTGAAAAAAAATATTTCCAACTTTTTCCAAAGACCTACTTCTCAAAACCTCTTCTCAATAAGAAATACCTAATTAGGATATCCTTTCTTTTTCTGATTGTTTGAGAAACTTATCTATTCTTAAATTTGATTTTCTTTTCGTGTATCATTTAAGGAGACTTATCACCTAGTGAGAGCCTTTACTTTCAGAACACACTGGATTTCAATCTTCTTTAAGCAGTGATTTTTTATCCATCTGTAATAGACGAGTGATTTACGATGAATCCCAGATTCTTATGTAACCTAGTAAGAACTGGATTATGTTGTTTCAGTATAATACCTTCCAGCAGCCATACCTAGTCAAAAGAATTTTATTGATATATATATTCTATTGCCCAAACTAGTCTTTTCCCAAAAATCTTTTTGTTTCACAATAATAGAAGGTATCAGAAGACAGTGGGATTCTCGTCAATTGTGATATCCTTTAACAACTTCTGGAAAAATGGATTCTCAACTGTAACCAAAGGGTTGAAGCTTAGTATGAACTAGAGATTATTCGATCTTATTGTCTGATCAGGATAAAAAGGAAACCTTGATCTTGAACTTTGTCTGATCAGAATGATAGAAAACAAAGATCTCAGCTTAAACACATAGTAACTTTTTCATCACCTGGAGACTTGTTGCTCATATTTTATTGGTCTCATGAAACTTGATCTATAGGTTAATCCAATTGAAAGAGTGGACAGATACAGGATATTAATCAATTCTTTCAATCACCAATAACATTATTGAAACATGTGAAGTAACTAATAAGAGCTTGTTTACATTCAGTTACTAATGTATTTCATATCAATCAATCAAAAGCCTAATGACATTGTGTTACCAGAAATTCACGATCAAACTGAGGTAAATAAAATCCTTTAGAAAAATTATAAAAAACAGTAATCACTTTAAGAGAAATAGAAAAACTTGAGAAGGTAAATAATAAGCCTTCTCCTGCCAATAAAACCTCTATTTCTGTTACTTCAGCTCTATAAGGTGACACTTCACTTGTCAGTCTTTTTACTTTCTAGAACTTTCTTGCCCTTAGTAGAAAAAGTACATACTTGGATCTTTTCAGGTTACTAGACTTAAGTTTTTATTTAAAGGAGTTTATAAATAAGTAAAAGAGTAAGAAAAATATATGAAAATAAGTTTCAAGTTGTTTTAATGAAAGTATAAAGATTTTATTAGCAAGGAAGTATAAACCTTCTTGTGAATATCTTTTTTGTATGTAATCAGAGGATCAGTGGAAAGAGTTTATCTTATAATTTTTTTTTTCTTAAGCTATTTCAATCTAATACTTACTATACTTAAATAATAGATTTAATTGAATTGACTTATTTGATATTACAACTAGTGTTAAAGAAAATCTTTTTTGTGATTCAAGTAATAGCAAAAAGAATATTCTAATCAAGCAAATTCCTTTTGAAAAAAGATTGCTCAGTTGATGGATTTTTTTTTGAAAAAACTTAAATTATATATATATATATTTTTTTTCTTTATTAATTTAATAATTTATAGATTTTCATCAAGACTCTTTCCGCTGATCCACTATTTTTTAAAAAATTTCCTTTTTTGGTAATTCTTTAAAGAAAAAGGATAACACAATCCAAGCTCAGCAAACACATTAAAGAGAAA